GAGCTGCAGATCCCTCCTCTGCCTGACCCCATCAGCTTTGTATGCCTTTGAAAAGGGATTTACCTCAACCAGTACTCGTCTGTCCTTTTACACCCTCAAAAGCAAAGAGTTCTGCTTAAAGTGAGGATTTAGAGAGATAAAGATAAAATGAAATATACAGCAAAGCTTGCTGGACTGAGTTGTGCAGCAGAAGCATCATCAGAAGAGCTTCATGGCCACAAATCCCCAACAATCGCCTTGATTAATGGGCTGGGTCATAATTATCACACCTGATTTAAGAAACAGGTCCAGGCTGTGCTTTGCCTGGCAGCCTGGTCCCAGCTAGCATCTCAGTGACATCCAGGGATGCCAGAGCCCAGGGACCTCTTCAGTGGTGCTGTGTCCCCAAAGGTCTCCCCAGCACCCATGTTATTGCTGAGCTGCATCCCCAAGCTCAAAGCCCTGGAGCATCACGGCTGCCCTACCTATCCCACCCCTTCTTCCACTAAGGTAAAGTTCACAATCTCTTTGTTGTTTGGGGTTTTTTAATTAGTATCCTCGGCTGAGACTACATTAAAATGATGTTCAGTCCCAGAAAGACCCACTTTGCTCTGGCCTCTGGGAAATGAGAGTCGAGAAGAAGCCTGCAAGTATTACAGATGCTCATGTCTTCCTTCATGGAGCAATGTTGTTGTGTCAGGGCTTTTTAAAATGCTTTGGAGAAAAGGGAAAAAAAAAAAACACTTCAAAGTGTGAAATACATTTGCATGATGACAACTGACTTCCAGTGTGTTTTCTTCAGTAGTGCCTTGTTTGCCGTGAATGAGTCGATTTGTATTTACTAGTAGGCAATTAAAGCTGAAGGTTTGAAGCATCCCTGGTGGGATGGACCAACCCAAGAGCAGATCACACCACCCTCCCCAGCAATGCTCTGCTACCACAGTCAAAGGCTTCTCCTGCTATGTGTGCAGCAGGAAAGCAGTGAGAGAAAGAGAAAGCAACACAAGTGAAATCCATCTCCTGCAGCATCCCTCTGCCAATCTGTGCCCTGGTGACTTCTAGCATCTCCTCCAGTACCCAGTCACCTATATCCATTGCTCTCCCAGTGAGCTGTTGTTCGCTGTGGGTGAAGCCAAGGGGAATATGCCTCAGGCACTTCTGACTGTGGTTTTAAACTCCTGCAGTCATAGGCATTGCCAGCAGTCCCCCAGATAACCCCAGTCCCTGCCAAGGACCCCCAGCCAGCACAGCAGGCTTTGCCATCACCCTTGGGAGAAAATGCTGCTGTAGCTTTAGCAGTCTCAGACCTCAAAAATGGGATCTGGAAAGGCAACCTGAGTGATTTGGGCAATATATTTTAAGCCAAGAAGCATGCAGGATGCAGGAAGGATGCTTGGAATAACAGCTGGATGGACTGCAAAGAGGATAGACAAGTTCATGACTCCAGAGGGAGAATTTGAAAACTGAGACAAGATTTGAGCTCATGACCCAGGAAACATCAAGTACCACCAGGCACACAACCCTCACCCCTGCCCATCCTTTCAACAGCCTTTTTTTCTCCTTTCTGGATGAGGTTTCCACCCTCAGTAGGGGAGAGCCCTTTGCAGCACTGACCTGGCTCCATGTTTCATTTTTCCCAGCTGATTAACTTTCAGACTTCTGTCCGTGTTTAAAATTAAGGAAAATAATTTGAGCTCATCAATCGGTGGCACCTGTCCTCTGCCCTTTCCCCTGTCTGTATTTTTTTCCCTCCTTAAATTCAATTGGGGATGATAAGGAGCTTCTTCCCCCAGAGAAGCACTGGGCTGGTGGCCTCTCCCTTGTGGTGGTGCCTCTCTGCTTGTTGTCAGAGGTGGCCTCAGCTGCTGCCTGATGATGGGGAGGTCACACGAGCACATGATCCCATGGGATGGCTGTCAAGGACAGAGCAGGGATAGAGCTGCCCAAACCCCTGGCTCAAACCCCACTTCACCTTCTCCCTCAGCTCCTATTTCTCACAAAACCCACTAAAGCTACAATTGACATCAACTTTCCCTGGTAACATGGTCAAACCTCCTCCCTGGAACAAAGCAACAAAAACACCCTTGTTTAAACCCCAAACTTCACTCTGGCACTGCCAGAGGCTGCAACTATCTCAATCCAACCTGGGGAAAGCCTTTCCCTGTGGGCTGGCAGGTATTCCAAGCTGAAATGGAGCAGCTAGCCAGAAAATAAGTCTATGGGTGCTATAGCTATGGGGCAGGCTCCCCTGCCCCTACTGATGTCTGCAACAGCCCCCAGCATCTCCTCCAAGGCTGACAGTAAACAGTCCTTGAGCACATATTTCCCTTTCTCCATCAGGCTTAGGAAAAAAACCCCACACCCTTCAAGTAAGAAAAACATATTAATTCAGTTAAAATATGCCCTTTACTATGGACTGCGGGCAGTGTAGATGTGTTCACAGCACAAGGGGGGACACAGCTGTGGGGCAGCCCTGAACCATCACTGCTGCACCCAAAGGGAGATATTTGCTCTTAGCTGCTGAGAACGTTCTTTAGATATCTAAGCTCTAGCTACCTATTCAAGATCCTCTCCACAACCTTTTCTACACCTTTGTTACAGGAGAGTCGCTTTTAACACCTACCCATCCCACCACTAGTTCCCAGCTGCCTCCCATTAGAGGAATCAAGAATAAATAGGTGTAACCTGTGCAAAGCTGTGCATGGTCTGCTGGTGAGGTACCCTAAAGTTTTTCATCACCTACAGGCATCTACGGCAGGGTGAGACAGCAGATAGTGGCTGTGCCAAGCCTGGCACAGGGCAGTTTCTCCAATAATCGATGTTCAGCCCCAGATGGTGGTCCATGAGCAAAATTAGTGGCCATGATACAGCCTGTTTGCATCTAAAAGTAAAATACTGAAAGATTCAGTCTTGGCACAGGTATGTCCTCTGAGGTGCAACACTGGGGAAGGCACAGACAGCAGAGAGGAAGCTTTGAGTGGAGTGTTATAAGGAAAGTCAGTTTTCAGAGAGGATTGCTCCCATCTAAGGAGGTTTGGGGCAGCAAAAGGGCAGTGCAAGGAGGAGGAGAGGCAATACGCACCCCCAGTTGCTCACAAACCCTGAACCCCACAGCAGAGGTTTGCCCTTCCCTCCAGCATGATAGATGTCTGGGAATCTCCCAAGGATGGAGTCAGAAAGGACAAAGCCTCTCCAGGGCATCTGCCTTGCAGCTGGGTCTCATTCCATGGCTACTACAGACTCATTAATGTAGCTGTTCATCAGGCACTACAGATAATTACAGTTTTTTACAAATTCAGTTTTTGCCCAAGGAAGGTGGAAGGGGTATCAGGACTCTTCTGGGCCTTTCAATACATTTTGAAACTTTGGGAGATACCCAAGGAACACATAAAGCACCATCCGAGCTACTGCGGGGATCGAAGGTGAGCTCTGCGGTGGAGCTCGGAGCAGGCGGGGGGGAAGGATGCTCCTGGCACCTGCAGCAGCCTTACAGAGATACTCCCAGCACCGCCCCGGCAGAGCTGCAGCAGGGCCCTGGAGCACACAGAAAATGGAGAAGGTTCCATCATAAATAAAAGTGTTTGGCCAGGGCAAAAGCCCAGTCTCCCCCAGCTGCCTCACTGAAGCAGCTCTAACAGCAGTTGAGCCCCAGTCCAGTGTCTTACAACGCTGCCTGCCCCTCACCCTCCCTCTGGTCTGCACCCCAGGCTTTGCAGATTTTCAGAGAAAAGCTGATCTGTGGTGCATGGTGTTTGCTGTGAGCCTCTCCACTGCCTCATGAACAGCAGGAGAGGTCCCATACCCCCATACAAACATGAGGTGACACATCCCCATCGCTCCTGGGTCATCGTTTCTATTCACTCAGAATATTGCTTGGAGTTTTAGCAAATCTTATTTCAGCTTTCCTTCTGAAATCCAGCAATGAAATCACCCAGGCCAGGTGCTAAAGAGCAAGAGGAGGAGGGTGAAGCAGGACTAATGAAGAAAGATGAGTTTCTTTTAAACAGCTGCTGGAGCACAAGGAAGAGACGGTGCCTCGGCTCACCTCCTGCCCTGCCCCATCCCTCACTTAGCCACATGCTTCTTTGCCCTGGCTACACGCTTTTGAGCGCCTCATCACCCAAAGAAATGCCGGAGAGACCGTTAATTAAAACTGATTGGAGGGATAAGCTATTTATCAGCTATTAGCTGGGGGAAGATACAGTTCTCAGCAGTGCCCATGAGCATGTGCCTTTGCCCAGCGGTACTCCCAAAGCCCTGGAGGAGCAGGGTACACAGCTGCAGCAGAGACACAGCCCAGAGAAACTAATAAATCAGGAAACTATGCTACTAAATAATAATGCTGATAAATTGCCTTAGAAGTGCTTATTGCACAGTAAATACCCAAATTAAAGCCATGCCTTTAACCCCTTCTCTTCCATACCAAGGAACCTACCAGTGAGGCCAGCTGGGTATCACAAGGCAGGGGAGGAGGCAAAGCCATGACTGGTTTTCCAGGTCCCATGGATGCCACCGAAATTACTGTCATAATGAAATTTGCTGAATAGGAAGGAGCCTGATGAGCTCCAGCCTGGTTCGCTGATGTGTACCAGCTTACCTGTGGCTGCTGGCACCTTGCGAGGACAGACCCCGCCAGCGATGCTTCACTAATGCAGAGCCATGCAATCTCTGCTCCCCGTCACCCACATCAGCCCCGACTACTGCTAAAGCCCAGTGACAGCAGAGGACGAGAAGTGAAGTGGAAAAGTTTGACTCTGGGGGCTGGTGCCTTACATGATGGATATTTTCATTTAATGGCACAAGGTTTGGCCAAGGAGTGTGTTACAGACCAGCAGCGTGCTGTGCTCTCTAAAGCATCTCTTCTGTTCCCTTCTCCCACTGAAAAAGCCACTTCACTTGCAAATGATCAAGAGATAGGAGGGAAGGGAAAAGAAAAAGATTAAATCAAGCATAAAATAACCAGGAAAAGAACAAACCACAAGTGAAATTCAATGTTCTCTAAAAATCTGAAGTTTATTCATTAGAATTCAGTGAAAGGAACATTCATTTTAAAACACAATCAATACATTAAAAAGTTTAAAGGACTAGTAGCAATGAGACCAGAAAGAAAATAACAAAAATACCCAAAAATTCAGACAAGTCGGTCACTTGGGAGGAGCCGCCTCTGCTCCCAGGGCACCTGCAGACCAGTTCTGCAGCCTGCCCACAGCGGGATGGCAGAGGGGAAGCACAGGGCCACCTGCAACAAGGGCTAATTATTTTTTTTTTCTTTAGAACTGAGAGGCTCTTCTAGATTTCAATTTATCACTTCACCCAAGTGTATCTTCTAGGATGACTCAATGCCAGCAGGAAGAGCAGGTAGCCCAGCTGGAGAGGAGGAAGACACAAAATTAAGGGGCAGAGGGAATGTGAAATGTGGCGTGGGTCCAAACACCCCAGGAATGTTTGTGGAGCGACCTGCCCATCCAGTTCCCATGCTGGGAACGGGGGCAAACCCATTTAAGAAAAATTTTAAAAAGCACCATTAGGTGAAGAGCTATTTAATTAAAAGACACAAAAATCTATGCAGAGCCAAATGTCTCAGTGGCAACTGCCATCCCTGCTGGCACTGGCGGTGGGAGGAAAGAAGGGGAAAAAATTTGCTTTTGCCTGTAAAGTTTTAGCTTTCCAGCATTTAATTTTCTTTTTGCGCATCACTGTTTGACATTGTTCTCGTCTGCTCAATTAATCACCGTGGCCTTCTGCAGAGAAGTTATTTCAGCCCTTACACCCCGCACAGGGTTGCAAACTCTGCAGGGGCACAACTCCTACAGAGTCAAGCAAACAAAGCAGCATATTCATTCAACTAAATAAAAAACAAAAACAAGAAGAGCCACATTAACTAGTGTTGGGTCTTAGTTTACTAGAAGCTACCCTTGCATTTCTGATCCCAAAATTCAAGGCAGTATTATTCCAGGAAGATGCTTTACTGATGCTGGCAATGCAGGCGGCACAGAGTTGGAGCTCTCTAGCCTCCAGCCAAGCGCAACAGGAGAGGAGGAGAAAGCAAAAAACCCCCGGTAATCCCATGTGGACCCCAGGATTATTTAAATGCCAGTCCTCAGACACGGAGCAGGCAATTCTGCCCGCACAAGAGTGAAAGCTGAGCTCCCAGCCTGGCCAGGGAACACCAAAGGGAGAGGAAATTTGTCACCGGTTTCAAGAGCATTGCCACACACCAACCAACAGCATCTCCCACATGGGGATTTAAAAAAACCCCCAATTTTGGATAAAATAATTTAAGCACACAGAAGGGAAAGCCCCAGCTAAAATCTGCAGTTTTCTAATTTAAAGACAGTCAACAACATTTCTGGGGAGAAATCACCAAAGTCCACAAATTCAGATGAAAAACAAAACTTAAAAAAAAGAAATGACAGTTGATGAGTGTGACAAAGCACTATTAAAACAAAGACGTGTCAGCGGTGTGTGCAAAGAGCGAGCATGTGTATTGGTAACAGACCGGCTGCTGGGTTTCAGAGCTGGCCCTGGATATAAAGTGGAACAGCATGTTACAGGAGGGTACGAGGAAAGAGGTGGTTTCCTTGCATTGCACGGGCAGTGGCAGCAGCAGCAATAATTGCCTTTTCTCCATCGGAACAGTAAACCACACCACTTTAAAAGACAACGCGCACAAGTAAAAGTCCATAAAATTTCCCCGTGAATATAAAATGCAAAACTATACAAAAATAGATAAAATCGACCATTTTCTTATGTGTATAAAAGCAAACAAAAAAACCCCAAAGTCCCCAAAATGCAATACAGAATCACTTGGTAGACTGACCCGAACGTCAGTGGTTTCATCGCAAGTTAACAGCCATAATTCATCGCTCTGAGGCAAGGCCTTCCCTGGAAGGGACATATTCAGGCGAGTTCCTCCAGGGGAGTTTTTCCTTAATATCTTGGCAAGACAATCTGCTATTCCTGACTTTTATGACTTTTTTTTTTTGGTTTGGAAGCCCTTTTTCATAAAAAGCCTCAATTACCACTCTCAAATTTGAGTTCCTTAGGTAAGGCAGTATTTGACTAACGGCTTGATCCACATCAAGACCAGAAGATCTGTTCCTATTTATCCCAGGGCAGACAGTATTTTAGGAAGAACAATACATTAGGCAGTGAAATCCAATCTCTCTATGGCAGTGATAATTTACAGGATGAATTAGCTCACTGAAAATTTTTATTTCTTTGGGTTAATAGGGCAGAATACACCAATAATCCAGTAAATTAGCTCCAAAAATGCTTTTAGAAAACTCATTTTAAATCAATAGATATTTGCTTCATTTAGTTCACATTAAATTAAGAGGAGAAACCTTTGGTATAAAGTCAGATTATCAAGTCTTGGCTGTATTGCTTTCACACATTTGAGTCTAGAAGCTGTTTTCACTAAGCCTTTCCATTACGTACCTACAACCAAAAGAATTATTCCTAGAGACATGCATTTGCAACTGAACATTCATTTTAGCACCGAGACACTTTCATACCTCACCAAGACTGGCAAAGGCTGCACCATGTCTAAACAAAACACTACGCAAAAACCCCCTTAACCCACAAGATGCCTTTGGTGACACGCTAAAATAAAATAGTAATTAAGAAAACAGTCAGGGGCTGCTGCTCAGGACAAGCAATTACTGCGAATGCCTGTGTTCGTGACGACATCTCCAGTGTCACCAGCAGTACTTGCTTGTGGTTTTTATTTTGTGAGTGGCAGTGAGAGTGCAGTGACGAGACCTGACCCTGTCCTTACTCTGAGCAAGAGGGGAGCTGGTTCCAATTAGGCAATATTCACTAGCAGATGCTCACACACTGTGCTAACAAGGGGACACTGCACTCACACCTCAGAGGTGGGGGGACCCTTCACTGGCCAATCACATTCTCCTCCTCAGGTTGGGGATGCAGAGCAGAAGCAGCATCAAGGGCTAGGTTTGTCTCACAAAATCCTCTCTGGTTGCACAAAGGGACAGGAGAAATAAATGTGGCATGGCAGGTTCCTGCAATAACTCCCTGCAGGAGTACTGGTGGGAAAATACTGAAAAATTAAGGTTTAAGCCCATGGATACACAGATGGGTCTACTCTAGCCTCAGCAATCTGTTTAGGACAATAAAAAACCACGTTTAATTTGGACCGCAGGCAAGCAAACCCTGGCTTTGCCTTTCCCTGCTCCTTCACAGATAGATAAGGACGGGGTAGTACAGAGTCCTTTCTCAAAAAAGAAGTATCGGGACCTCATTTTGCTTGGGGGAGGCAGGGAAAACAAACCCAAACCAGCTGCTTGTGCCTGTAAATACAGTGATGCTGGGAGCTGCTGACGTTTCCAATGGGAGCCACATCCGTATGGGGCTGCAGGTCCAGAGAGCAGCAGGGGGGTTACCCACCGCGGGCAGGAGTCAGCAGGAAAAGCGAGTTAGGGCTGGGCAGAGCTGCCCCTTGCCTCACGCTTTGCTCCGGAGGTGGGAGAAAACTCTGATATTTTCAGTTCTTTTTTTTTTTTTTTTAGTTTTAATGCTACAAAGCTAAAAAAAAAAGCAGAAAAGGGGCAACTTGGGGTGGGGGGAACAAAAATCTTCCTCAGTAACTGAATTAAAATCAGAATACAGAGCTTGGACAGAAGATGGAAGAAGCTTTGTAAGTCACAGACAGGGAGGTTTGGTTTAGAGACAAGCGTGTTTGAGATACAGAGGACATGGGAGACACCTCGAGGACCAACGGCCCGAAATAGATGTTTCCAGGAGCTCGCACAACCTCCTCTGACAAAGTCAGTCTCCTTAGCTCATGTCCCTCCTCCACACTCTTTCAAAGAGGAAAAAGAAATCCAAAACGTGTAGCAACCTCCAGCTTTTTTGTTCCCTCCAGTTAGGAGGAAGAAGTTGTGAAGCCTAATTTAGGCTGCGTTACATCCTGTATTCCAATTAACAGAATACTTTCCTTGTATGAGTTTATGCAAAGAAAACAACTGTAAAATAATTTAGAAAAAAACAAAAAACAAAAAACAAAAACAACCCACAAAACTTCCTTTTGAAGAAAGCAAGAACATTGGCAACTTCACAGCTACCAGCACGATGCGAATTTAGCTTATTTCAAAGACCTCATCCATGTGCCCATGGCCTGGGAGAGACAAGGAGCATGGGACAAAGCACAGGAAAGGTGGTTTCAACCAGGAATTACACACTGTGAAGACAGACCACAACAAAGAAGGGACCGACACTTTGTTCTTAAAAGGGACACCATCAACAGCACATCTCTCCTAGCACAGTATCTCTGAGCAAAAAAACGAGACCTGGAAAACATTATCAGCACACACACAAAAGCTCCTGCTTTCCTGTGGGGCAAGGGAAAAAAAATAATAAATAAAAATGTTACTGCAAAGTTCCCCTTTCAGCTGACTTGCCTCCTGTCCTTGCTCTGGAAATAACCAGCATCCTTCCTCCCAGCCTTCCCAAACCAAGACTGAGATAGAAGACATTCAAAGTGAGTCTGAACCAAAACATTCCACTGAGAAGAGGAAGAAAAAACCCAATTTCTCTCACAAGTTTCCCCAAGGTTTGCTCCCCCAGCTCCAATCCTGCAGAAAAAAACCAAACCTGCCACATTAGCAATGGGTCCGCGTCCAGCGTGTATTCTAGCAGCAACGTGAGTGCGTGCCAGGTGCTGCTGCTGCACTTGGCATTCAAGAGCGTGGCAGCTCGCGCTGGAAAACAAGTGCGTCAGCATATGAACCCCGGAGGCAGCTCTGAACCCCGCCACAGCATCCGCAGCAGCGAGACCATGTACCATGGCCGCGGGAGAGAAGCTCATCCTTATCAGCCCAGGTCTAAATTCAAGTCACTCACAAATTGCTCGTTAATGTTTACTTTCTCCCTCCCTGCCCTTTGCAAACCTTTTCACATCCTTCCGGGAGCAGCTATTTGGCTTCGGTGACGCTCAGTGCCGTGCTCCGGCAGCCGGCGGGCAGCGCGTGCCCAGGGGGGGCTCTGCCTTTCAGGGGCTCTCCGCAGCACTCCGGGCTCTTTACCGTGTCGGTGCTGCCGTTGGGATGCTGAGGCACACCCTGGGCGATGCCGACGGGCTTGCACTTAGCGCGTTTCTCCGGAGAGCAAGAGAAACTAAAGCTTGGGAGCAGCTCGGGCTCTGTTTCTCCCACGGGTAACAAGTGGGCCAGCTTTTTAGCAGTGACTTCTCCCTGGTACCTGTAGGGACCGGCTGCCTCCCGGAATCGCCTCGTGTCGGTCTGCAGAGGTAAATTGGAGGGCCTGAGCGGGTGCCTGTTCAGCTCTGGTTCTTGGGGCCGCCTGTCTGGAGTCTCTCCAGCAACATTCTGGGAAAGAGACAGGAAAGGGGACACGGTGCCTGACTGCTCTGACGGCTCCCAGGCACTCTCCATCGCGGCAGCGGGAGCGAAACCCCAGTGCTTGACTCCCCCGACAGCTGTGTCGGTGTCATGCTGGATGGGCTGCAAGCCCAGCCAGTTCAACCCACCATCAGGAGCCACCAGCTCGCCCTCCTCCTTGCTCCTGCTCCTCCTTGCTCCACCCAAGTCCTTTTTGCCACCCTCCCGCTTTGACCAGAGCTGGCCTGGCTGAAGGCCGCCCTTGGCAACCTGCAAGTCGGCAAGCTGAAACTCCAGGCTCTCCGTGTCAAGTGACCGGCTCCTCCGGGCGACGGAGAGTGGTGCTGGCATGGAGGGGCTCAGCCCGTGGAGGCGGAGGTGGCGGGGCAGGCTGGCAACACCCCAGTTGCAGCTCTGGAAGGAGCCTGGGGAGTACCCTGGAGACATTCTCTCGTCACATTCAGCCAACGACTCTTTCTGTCCATAGCCATCATCAAAGGCCTCAGCAATGTCCTCGCCAGCATTCATCTCAGGATGCTGCTCACATTCCCCTTCTCCTTCCTGCTCCACGTCAACAACATCAAAGGTGACCATGGTGGGGAGGGCAGGGAGGTTCTGGGTGAAGGAAGAGCCAGAGGCAGAGCTCCCCAGGCTTTCGGAGAGGCTGGAGAAGAGAGTCCCGCTGCTGGCGAACTCCACCAGTGCTTGCGAGAAGCTCACAGCATGCTCGGGCTCGGGCTCGCTGCCCACCTGGGGCTTGCCAGGGGTGGTCTCCACTCCACCGGCACGCTCATGCTCTGGGAGTCCATAGCTAGGGAACATCCCTGCTTTGGCTGGGGCTACACCACTGTGGATGGAGCCCCCAAACAACCCACAATCCAGGTCCGAATCGAACCCCGAGTTGTTTTTTGCGAGCTGAATAAGGCAACTTCCTTGGGCTTTTTGGCCGTTGTAACAGTTTTCTGGACACAGAGTCCCTGGAAAATCCCTCCACTCTGGATTTTCAGCTCTAGCCACCAAAACCCCACTATTCACACCCCTGTTTGGGGCATGTGAGGCCACCTGCTCATTACCAAGGCCACTCTGATTCTTGCCAATTGAGCTGGCTGCTCTAGTTTTACATTCAATGCACTGCTTTTCCCGGGGACACTTCTCCTTGCTGGGAACATCAAGTCGTTTCAATACCGGTTCCCTCTGCAGCTCCCAGTACAGCAGCTCTTTCTGAATGGCTGCTAGTCGCTCTTCTTCTGTTTCCATCACCCCTCTTTTCTGATCCATCATCTGGATCAGGGTCTTCTCAGCAGGGAGGCAGAAGTCCAAGAAGTAGCTGAAGATCCCTGGGCGTGAGACTTTGCTCTCAAACAGGGACTCCTCCCCATGAGAGGGACTCATTAGAGCATCAAATTCATAAAGTGCATCACCGCTGTAACTGTCTCTGGGAAGACGGTCTTTCTTGATCTCACCGAGCCCATCTCCGGCTTCATCCTCTGGCCCTGGTGTGGTAGAGTCATAATAACCCTCATCGCTATTAGGGGCAGACTCTTGCTGGTCACTCTGTGGTGTCAGGAGGTCAATGCCATCCATCACATCCCCCACGTAGTGGTGGGCTTCTGCCTTGTGCAAGGCATGGGTCTCCAAATTGCTACTTGACACCTGGGCTCCATAGTTCCTGTCCTCTGCTGCGCTGCTGTTCCATATCTGGTGGAGGTACTCCTCTGCCTCCTCAGGTATGGCCATCTCCTCCCCACCGCCCTGGTAGGTGACCAGGCAGGAGCTCCGTTTAGTAGCATCTCTGCTGCGCTCCACAGAGATGGTGCTCTCAGCGATGTCAGGCTCAGCAATGTCATCTCCACACCCTGTCAGGGAATCGAAGCTCTTCAGGGAAGTGACATCTCCTAACATGATGCTTAGCAGGTCCCCAGAGTGTAGGCAGGGAGGGTCATTGTCCATGAAGTCCGGATGAAAGGCCAGAAGCAGATTGCCATGGTCAAACTCTGTGCAGTCAACAGCATCAGCTTCTGATTTTGTATCCAGAAGGTCTCTCTTCCCCGGCATTGCCACCGCATCACCCTCAGAGCTGCCTTCATCAGCTGTGAGACAGCGGGGCTCGGCACCCTCACTACAGTTGGCAGCTGTGCCTACTGAGTGGTCATCCTCCAAGCTCCCCGGGCAGGCCACGGCAAGAGGGACAGGCCCCAGTCCCCTTCCCTCCATGGCCCCTTGGCTCTCCATTCCCACCCCAGGAGTCTTGCTGGTCTCCTCTGAATCCCCGGTCCACTCGGGGAGCTCTGCTTTCTCACACTCGGTAACCTTGCTCTTCCGGTGACGCCGGATACTGTTAAAAAATCCTTTCAGGCCTTTTTTGGGTCTGGGAAAGGAGGACTTATCTCCATTGGGCTTTTTCTCACAGCCCTCAATACTCCCAGGTGGAGAGCTGTCCTGCTGACTGAAATCAAACTTGGCGCTGGTGTCTATGGCCAAGTGAGCGCTTTGGGAGCTCGGCAAAGGGCAAGGATGCGAGTCCCTGCTCCCCTCAGAAGGGCTTTCCAGCTGCACCCCACTGCCCTTGTCATATGCAGCACCACTGAGCCCATCATGGGTCTTGCATTTAATGAGGCCCTTTTTAGAGGCTACTTTCCCCTGGCCTTTGCTTCTGCCTCCAAAGAAACTGGGCAGCGTACAGATGCTCCTCTTCCCTCCGAACAGTTTGAAAGCTGTTTTCTTCAGCTTGCCAGGGGGTGGCTGAGGTTGCTGTGGCTCCGCAGGCACGACAGAGGCATTGCCTGGCTCAGGCAGCCGGTCCCCGTTCTCCTCCCACCGCTGGTCGCTTCCCTCCCGCTGCCCACAGACCACCGACTGAGACCTGGTCCGGGCAGGCTCCTCCGTGCAGCCCGTTTCCATGGTAGCTGGTCGGTTTGGGTGCATCTAGCTGGAAATGATGGCTTTGGTAGCAGAGTCCTCTTTTGGGCACAGAGATCGAAACACGACAGCTGATCTAGAGCAAAGAGAAATGGGAGAGAGGTGAGGAGATGGCAGCAGACGGCACAAAGCCAGAGGCATAGGTGTCACGAGGCGAAGAGCTTTGTCGCCAGCTGGAACTGGAGCTGCAAAAGCCTCTGACAGCCACTCAGCTCCCTCTGCTCCTTAAAGCCAGGTACAAAAACATCGCAATGCTTAAATTTACCAGTTTGCAAGTGCAGGAAAACCACGTGTCTCCATTCAGCAGCATCCCAGCTGCACAGGGACAGGCAGAACCCTTTGGCTTCCTGGCCTTTTTGCCACTGGGGCGACCAGGTTCAGTTACCAGCCACCTTTCAGTGGGGAAACAGGCTGCTCCAGCAAGGAGGGCGACTGACACCCACCAAACCCACTTCCAGCTCTCCCAGAAACAGCACCAGGTATTGACCATTTTGACAGAGAAACAAATCAGGATGCAGCCCTTACGCTAAACACATATCCAGAAAGAAAGCTGTTTACTATATATATATTTTTTAAGGAAATTTCAGTTGTTTTTAAAATCACCTATCCAGCAAGAATCGTGTTAAAAAGATTATCCACTATGAACCACCCTGACCAGATTATCTCAGAAGCACAAAGGTAGGTTTTAAATTTGATCCTAGACTGATGTCAGTAACAAAATAACTAAAATAAAGTTTTTTGCAGAGCTGAGGTTGGAGAAATTAAATGCAATAAAAACTGTAACACACTGCCAAGCTGTAAAGCCCAAGGCTTAAGTCTTACTGGTGTGAGGCTGGTGAAACTTTCTGTGGTGTTTAGCCAGAGATGGCAAATTAAAAATACACCCAAATGATGGCCTCTAGCTCCTGCAACCCAACAGAAAACCTGGAATCTAAATTTTTTTTTTTTTTACTCGTGTGGGGAAGAATGCAGTGTTGCTTTGCCTCTATAACTAATGATAACCCCTGGCGTTCACCTGGCAGGCAAACCCCCCTTCCCACTGGCAAACCGGGCTTTTCCAGGTCAGCCCAAGAGGCTTTCTGGAGTCCTAGATGCCCCCAAAGACTCTCTGGAGCACTGGTGGGTTTTCTCTGGAGCCTTTCTGCAGGGATCTGGTTAGGTAGGCCTGAAAGAAAATCATACACATGCATCTGTAGACGCAGACTGCTTAAGAAGTAGAGGGGGGGGTTGAAATGAAACGGGAACAAGATTTCCAAAATTCAATTTGAAAATTATTTCGCTCTGGCTCCGCATCAGCGCTGGCATCAACAGACACAGCTATTTATAGAAGCCAGTAAAATAAAGCCACCAAGGGCAAACACCACTGCCAATAAAATCTGAAAACAGCGTTTTAAAAAACAAAAAACCCCAGCACAATAAGGAAAGGCAGCGCTTCATCCACGCCCGGCTTCCCGGGGCGGCCAAGGGCAGACCGGGGGATGCTGGGGGAAGCGGCCGGTCCCGCCGCCAGCCCTCGGGATGGGAAGGAGTAGGCACGTCCAGAGGGGAGCTGCTGGCCCTGGAAGGGACCCCACGGCCCGGGCCGCCGCCCGGCCAGAGGAAAGGCGGCAGAGGCCACGGCTCTTCCCCTCCTCGGCGCTCGCCTTTCGCTCTGCCGGGCTCGCCGAAGTTTGGCGAGCATCCACGATACCGCGCGGCCACCTCGGCGCTACGGGAGGCCACCGGAGAGGGAGGGGCCCAGCCC